CCCTCTTTCCTGGGCTTGACTTTACTCCTGATTTTCTGTACCTTCCCCTAGCAGTTCAGGGGTATGAAAATAAAGGTTTTGGTCAGTTCATCACATGTAACCTCTGTTGCTGTTTCCTCCTCAGGGAGAGCACTCCTCACACTCTCCCTCCTCCAGCATGGGTCCCTCTCTCCATGGGACCACAGGTACTGCCAGGATCCTGCTGCAGGTCACAGCCTCCCTTGGGCATCCACCTGCTCTGCCGTGGGGTCCTCCAGGGGCTGCAGGTGGATCTCTGCTCTCCTATGGGCTGCAGGGGAATCTCTGCTCTGGAACCTGGAGCAGGTCTGCCCTTCCTTCTGCACTGACTTTGGGGTCTGCAGGGTGGTTTCATATATCCATCCTCCATATACTCATTCTTCTCTCTGGCTGCAGTTGTACAGGGGATTTTCCCCCTTCCTAAATACATTATTCCAGAGATGATACCACTGTCAGTGATGGTCTCAGCCTTGTCCACTGAGTCCTTCCTTGGAGTCAGCTGGCTTTGGCTCTGCAGACACGGGAAAGATTGCAGCAAAGAATCCACCACTAGTGCCTACACACTACCAAAACCCTGCCACACAAATCCAATGAAGACTATTTTTTCATTCTTCTTTCCAATTATAGGCTTTGCCATCACACTTGAGAGGTCCATTTCTGTGAAAAGGTGGTTGGCTACCCCAAGGAACTGTAGACAGAGTACAGTTAACTTTGCAGAGAGAAATCTGACTTTAGAACACTGGATATTTAGCTTCTATATGTCGGTAGCAGGAAGCAATCAGCAGTGCTGGGACAGCTGCCAGGATGTTCATGGCAGGTGCACCAGGTCTCCTCATAACCTGCACTTTCGATAGATGGGATATTTATTTCTCCCAACAGGCACATATCTTGTCCATAATTGCATCACAACAATGTCATTAAATGGTATTTCTAGATCTGTAACTTATGAAGTGCAGACTATAATTAGTGAAAACTGACTTCTTCCTGAGATAAACAGTTCTGTCATTCATGCAAGCCTGAAATCACAGGATTGCATCACAGACTCTAAAGCTCCATAGAGACTGAGCAAGTTACCTCTGGAACTTTTGTGCTTAGGACTAATTATGCATTTACTCATCAGAGATTATGCAATGATTAAATCCCCATATTTGGCCACGTTCCTTTCCGCTATTGCCTTCTCATGCCCTTTGCTTTATGAAAGGAGTTCTAAACCTTTGGAAATTACAGAAGGGAATTTCCCCGGTCTGGTTCTGGTTTTCCTGGATCAGCTGTATTGCTGTAAGACTTTAAAGATTTTATTTACACCAATTCAGAAAAGGTACTAATATGCAATAAAACAATATCTCTTTGTGAGGATGAAAAACATGGAATCTGTTGTTAACTGCTAGTTTATTAACAACTGTCAGTATGTTTCTCTTCTTATTGGAGGGCACAGGTAAAGATAATGACGGTGCCTGACATTCACATTTTTTATTTTAATCTTTCATGTTTAATGTTAGACCTAAACTCATAAAATGACAATAATTAAATGGTTAATGATTATAAAATTCCTTCTCTGTCCTTCTCTTCAAAAATCCATGAAGTATTTTAACCGTTGCATGGAAACTAGGTAGACTGCTCCTGTGTTTTTCCATGATGAGGAGAATCATGTGGCAAGCCCATTGTGCCCCCTCCTCCCTGGCCCCACCAAATTTTTTGCCCTGTCTGGGGTTGTTTATCTAGGTTGAACTACTAAGTCCTCTTCAGCACTTCAGACTTCCAGCAAGTATTTCTGTAAAAGTCCTTTGGGATATAAGAGAGGAAGTGTAATATCAGGATGCAACAGCATAGTGACCAGAGAAAGTTGCCTCTGGCTGTAGCTTTGCAGATGGTGTCTGAGAGCAGTTTGACACCCCAGCTCTCCTCTTTAACACCCCCAAACTGCCCAGAACTGTCAGTTCCCCAGTATTACTTGGGAAAAAGCTCAGTTTTCCCTGATGCATTTCTTCTTCCATAAGTCTGACTGGATGGCTCTGCCACAATGGCACCTTGGCTGTCCTTGCCCCATCTTTTGTTATACACACAGGAGGGGTTTGAGCCTGTTTTCTCTGGCCCCTGGAACAATGAGAGAGGAAGCTTAGGAGAGGATGAACACTTTATCAGTCTGTGTTTTGCTGCTCTGCCTTACTGTGGCTGCAGTTGTTGTGAGGGGATCTGTGGAAGGACAACAGGAGGGAGGGAAGCTGAGCAGCTTACACCAAAGTCAGGAAGACAAATAAATCAGGGAACTAAAATAAGAAACAAACAGCTAAATGTGAAAAAAAAATAAAAAATAATGTAGGGTTGATTGTGGATTGGGAAGGAACCCAAGTTTAAGATCATGCTCATGGAAAGGCCACATCCAACTTGAGTATCTGCAAACTAGGTATTCAAACTAGGCTTCACCTCCCATCCTGGGCAACCTGTCCCAGTGCTTCCCCCTCTATGGAGAAGGGACTTCCATATGTCTGATGGAAATTTCCCTTTTCACAGCTTGTGGCTTGAGAGATGAAAACCTCTCATGCTTTGGCTGTACCCTCTGAGGAGACTCTGGCCACAGCCCTCCCCACAAAGGCCCAGGGCAGAGACATGATAGCCTCCCTTGACCTGGTGGCCCCCTCAGTGTGAAGCCTTTGAACTGCAGTAGTGTTAAGACACTAAACATATTTATATGGCACCTGTAACTGACCCAGGAACAGGTTTGGAGGTGCCACTGGCCACGCTGGGGCCTGGCAGCCTCATCTCTTGGCTGTGTGGCAGTCCCTGGTCAGCCCACATGGCCCCACTTGGTCACACAGGTGTCAAAGGAAACCAGGTTGAAAGTTTGGTTGTGTCAGGGTGGACAACAGTCACTGTCCCCTCATTGCCAGGGAATAATGAAAAACACTTCATTGGAACATATAAGTACCTCCCTGTTTTTATAGATATTTTTTGCTTTTTGCTTGCATTAGAGGTTTGTGAAGGTAAACACTGGTAAGATACAGTTATTTGTCATATCAAAACCAGCAGAGCTTTCTTCAGCTGTTTGCATTAAACCTTTTTGGATTGTTTTAACTACTTTGTACGAATAAACTGAAGGTACTTTGTACACAACAAGTACAAACAAAATGACAGTGCTTCTGAAGTTGGGACCCTTCTTGTGGCTGTTGTTCTAAATCTAAATCTTGACCCAATTTCCTAAATCAAACAAAACATGAGATAAAAGGAACACCATGAACATGAGCCCAGCTGTGACAAGGCACATTGCCAACCATGGTCAGTTGTGGGAACCACTGGTGTGATGAAAACTGCCTGAGGGCAGGACTGCAGGGTGAGAACTGCCTGAGTAGTGTCTTGCTGTGGTATCCATACTGCTGGTGCTTAGGCAGAAGTGTCAAAGCTCAGATGAGATGATTCTGTCCAAGAAGCACTGAACGGAGAAGAAATAGAGCTGTAAAGTCACGAGGAAGACTTGAGGTGCAAGGCCTCTGGATAACAGTATGGCCTAGGAAACGGCATACAAAGCACCAAAATTTGGTGTAGGTGTAATAGATTTGGGATCCATGAAATCTGTATGCAAAAGAAAAAACTACCATTCTAGTCAGCTACTTTGAGGCATTGCCTAATGCTGACAGATAGTCTTTAAAGCAGTGCAGAGATAGCTGCATACTGAGAGAATCAATATTTTTGTACTTTTGTACTTTTGTGGCATTTCACTGTGATCCATAAAACAGTTACAAAAACTGTATACATTAGGGCATGGGTTCTTTGTTGTCTCCTTCCCATCTTTTAGGCAGTTGCTGTGGCTCTGCAGAGAAGCATGTCCAGTATATGTGATGCCGTGCACACTGCAAGGCTGGTCACGTATACTCAGCCATATGAAATTCCCTCATTTCTCTCTATTACATAGAGAAATTAATTTATCTGATAACAATCTCCTTCATTTGGAAGCAAGCTGTTTCCATTTCTACAGAGTAATAATAGGGACACACCTTTTGAGAGAGATACTGGCACTCTGTGGAGGATAGAAGGCATGTAATTATGCACTGCCTGTGACTATCCATGAACTCTACCTTAAGAGAAGCCACTTAAAGCTCAATTTACTCAACAAGCACCTGGAGCTGGCAGCAGTTCCTGTGTACACTGGCTGGCCAGGACATGGCCTGCAGCCATCATAGTATTTTCACACAGATCCCTAAAGAGCTTGGGAAAGTACCATCCTTCAGTAGCAGCTCAAACAAGGTACTTGGAGTGGTGACAGAACCTCTCCCTGGTGGTGTCTCTAGAGCTGTGCGAGGCAATTTTAAGACTGTGTGTATTTGTATTGAATTTCAGGAGTCACAATACTGTGGTACTGTTTGGGAAAGCAACAAACTACAGCTATTGTCTACGAAGTGCATTCATGCATTCTAGAAAGCACAGATTTGGAGAATATAGGCCCCATTTTAAGTTTCTTTTAAGCTCACTCTGCTTTAGATTAAATAGTTCAGACATGTAACAAACTGTCAGGAAGTCATGGCAGGGAATACATGGTGAAGGAAACTAAACAAACCCATTTTTATGAATACTCAATGTTGCTCATGTGCTCCTGCCAATACTACTGAACAGAGCTCAGAAAGCAGTAATCTGGAAAGCCTGATGTTACTGTGCTGGCCAACCAGGAAATATTAATAGTAGTAGTACTTGGTGTTGGTACAGCTCATGACCCAGCTGCTGTGAGCTTGCCACTCTGAAATTAATCCGGATGGCTCAGCCCACCTCTCTGTGCCCCAGGCTGGGTTTATTAAACAGCAGACACGCAGTTTCTGTAGGTAACATTTAAAGTTACCTACATTTGACTTTCCTCATTTCACAACCCACACTCCTACCCCTAAAACTACACGTGCTTCACCCACAGAACCATTAACTCATAGCCTTTTATTTCCTTTTTTTTTAGACTGAATCTTTTAAGCAACTTTAAAAAAAAATGTAAATATTCCCCAGCACACTGTTATCTCCGGTTGTAGTACCCGGAAGGAGTGCTGGGGCCAAATCAGGCTTGATGGAATTTGCTGTGGGGAAACCCGCTGATGACAGTGGAACCCGCCCGTGTGTGAATTCCCATGGCTCCTGCCACCCCTTTATAAGCAGGCGGAGGTGTGCCAGGGCTGGCAGGACCAGCAGGCAGCAGCCAGGCACTCACTGGAGCACAGCTGTGTGTGGAGAGGGAATGTCTGTGTACTGCAGCAAGAGCATGGTCCTGGTTTCCATGCTGGCACTCCTGGCACTGCTCCTGTGGGGCACCTCTGAAGGTGAGTGACCTCGAACATTCCGCCCTGGGAAGGGCTCCCGGTGCTGCTCACAGCTGGCAGCGGGATGAGGTTGAGCTGGAAGGGAATGTTTTCAGCAAAATGTGCTGTCTCATCCCCCTCTTCTGTCATGAGGGAGCTGGATGGTTGAGGTTGGACAGCAGGGCAGGGTGGGCCAAAGGGGGTTTATTTACTTTGTTGTTGTCCTTCACTCCAGCACAAAGCAACCAGGATTGCTGCCTGTCCTACACCAAAGTGCGTCTGCCCCGGTGGGCTCTGAAGGGTTACACTGAGCAGCTCTCCAGTGAGGTCTGTGACATCCCTGCCATCATGTAAGTTACTTTCTGAATTTCCACTGTTTTTTCTGACATGCATTAACCTGGGAATGTCTGTTTGGGCTAAAACAAGGATTTGGGAGTGTGATTTTTCCTGCCTTTTCTAAATGTTTAATTAACTGAATAAATTGTATATCACACCTGTAAACAAAACACAGCCTCTAGTTGATGGGGACTGTTAACCCAAGGGACAGTCATACAATGTAAATAATAATTCTGACTTTTTAGGAATCAGTTGTGCAAATAAAGACAGGTTTTGTCTCCAGCTAAAGGCCACTCTGGCCAACACAGAGTGCTCCCTTGCCAAAACCTGTGAACAGACACATAAGTGACAAGACTTCTTCTAATTCACAGGGATCAGACATTTTTCTTACAAGGTTTTGGCCTAGGTGTTGATCTGTCACCTTAGCTTGATAGCAGCTATTCTTAATTTTACAAACTGTTTCTGGCATCCAGCAAAGGTCTTTGCCTAAACAGATCAAATAAATTTAAAAAAAAATTATGGTGCAAAAAATGTTCCCTGAGGCTAAAGTAGCTGTTACATTTAACTTTGTTTTTCTTCATATAATATTGGAGGAATTTGGAACATTCCATGTCTAACTGGTGTTTACAAAAGCAGTTCCTATTGGCCATTGTATAGAGTAACTGTACTCTCCGCAGCAATTATTGGCAGGGATTTCTGATTTCTTTATTATTATTTATTTTCCAGTTTCCACACTGCCAGTGGGCTGAAGGCCTGTGTAAATCCTAAGGAAGGCTGGGTGAAGAAACATCTCCTTTTCCTGAGGTAGGAACTGAAACTTGAAATAAACACCAGGCTGATGAAAACAGGGCATGTATGAAAGCCTGTCTTGTACATCTCCTGAATGCCACTTTTGACAGCCTTGGAGAACACATTTGTCCTTCCATCTCTTGTCAGATTAAGCTAATCCTTTCTGGAGTCTTCTCAGGGACAGTCATATCACATGTCCCTTCTTCCACCTGAGCTATTCTCTCAAGAAAGAAGAGAAAACTATAATTGAGGTCATTATTTATGCGTGTTCTCTCTTCCTCTTAACAGCCACAAGCTGAGGAAGATGTCAGCTTGACTCGGTTTCCAGCAAGGAGCTAAACATAGAAGTGGCTGAAGAAGCACTGGGTTAGGCTCTCAGCTGAGATGATTTGTACACTGTTGTGTGCTCACTCACCTCCAACTCCAGCTTCTTTGGAACTGCACTTCTTGAGTTGATTCGTATTGCATCGCTGTTTTGCTTGAGTTAAGCATGTTGTTAAAGTTTCTATTTTTACTAATGTGTGTATGTTACTGATAGGACATGAGTACTGTTTAGTAATGTGTACCTTGAGCTGCTGTATGGAGTGTGAATTTTATTAAGTTTATTGTATGTTATTTTGTTTTCTTCAGCATATGTAAAGCAGGTTATTTATTCTGTTATTTTATTATTGCCTTGTGCCAAAATGTTTCCTTCGAACTGTAGTTAGCATTATAATACCTCTTGAACTATTGTTAAACAAAGTCTGTAAAAAAAAAAAAAGGTAATTGGAGATTTAAAAAAAAATAAATGTTAAAATCAGCACTCTCTGTGATACGTTTTCTTTTTAATTGAAAGTGTGATTTGCACTTGAAATTAATTCCTTTGTTAAGAGCCTCCAGCTGAAACAATTGCAAAGGTGTGTTGATACCTGTTAAAGCCACTTTCCACCTTGGTCACTCTGCTTACCCTAGGGGTAGCTACGACCTCCACAGGATATACCTTCCTCACCCCAAGACAGCTGCTCTATAGCAAGTTTTTGTTTATCATTTAGACTTAGCTTCATCTTAATCAGACTCAAGAAAACTCCTTTTGCCAGTTTCTCTACTTATTTAGGAGGAACCTTACACGTTGTTACTGGGCAAGCTTCTAGCTTACCCACCAAGGAGGATTCATTGTGGTAACACAGTCTGCTCTCAACTTAAAGCACTTTCTCTGGAGCAGAAACTTGCAGTGCTTTCCTCCCCTTCTTGTGTTTGCCTATGGCTTCCAGCACAATGAGATTTTCCTGATGCAGGAGCTCTTGATGGAGGTCAGAGATGCCTGATAAAATAATGAGTCCTCATGGAAGAGACAGGTACAGGTGGGCTGGGGAAGACTGCTCAGCTTTTTATGCACTATTACATGGCACATGTGGACTTCAGGGATGTGACTGTGTAGAGTGTGCAGGTTAAGTCCTCTCACTGTCAGCACCAGAGTCTTACAGATAAATTTACACCTTGCCTTTTAGTACCCTTTAATCATAGAAATATAAGCACTAATTTAAATTTAATTTAAACTTAAATGTGAAGTATTTTTGGTGCCCTTGAGGAGTTGAGAGATACCGGGTTTTTTAAATGGTGTTCATGACTGTAAGGCTGTTATTTTCTGGTTTCAACACCTGCTAGAACTTAAAAAAATCTGCTTGTATCTCTACAAATCTGGGAAGCTTGCTTGTGGGTGAAGCTCTGAAGGAGGAAGGTATCTAAAGGAGCAAAATTAATTAGGTTTAATTTCATTCAGGTGAACATAATGTACTCTCCTTCACTGACAACATGATGTATTCTCCAGGGAGAAGGAATTACCCAGCTTGTTTACTGGGTGTTGCCCTAACTTCTGGGCAGAAGTGCAGAGCTCTGTCTCATACCTGCTAGCACGGGTATGGGCTGTCTGGGCTCAAAGAGTTCATAGACTAAATCAGGTACCAAAAAATGGCACAGACATGGTGAAAGGGTCTGTGTTAAAAGGGCTGTAAAGAATTTGGTGCAGAAAAGCCTGGACTCCAAGGGCTGAATTCATAGCAGTGGAGCAAAATTAGGAAGACCAGTGTGTGGAATTCTGTGGGTGGCTCTTTACCCCCAGTTCAGGCCTCTTTGAAGTTTTGTATTGCTTCTGTAACTTACTCTTCCTTTGGTCATCCATGGTTCCATTGCTACAAAACCCCACAAGCTTCATCCACAGAGCTATGACTTGAGTGATTTCTTTTTCAGATTGATTTTTTTTATAACCAACCCCTGGGGAAGAAAGAAGATACTGAAAATATTGGTTGCTATGCTCAATATCAGAAATTGCTAAGGTCATTATGTTACTGGTAGGAAAGTCTGTGTAGAAATAGCACCTCTCTCCATGCCTTCCTGAGGATACAAACAGGTATTATAACTGAGTGCTGTGACTCCAAAATCATCAGATCAGAGGCACATTTTTGTATGCAACCTTAAGTGGTCAGTTAGAAGTTCTGATAGCCCTGTAAATTGTGACCCTTTCTAGAAAATCCTGAATCCTGATTACTTTGGTGGGACTGTTCTGCATGTGAGTTTCTGTCTCCCCTCTATCTTTGGACTTCAGCTCCTAATTCAGCCTGTGTGATTTTGTTGATTAATTTGAGATGCAGAACTAAATAATGATTATTTGGAGACTTTTTCTCTTCCATTTACATAATGTTTAAAAAGCCTTTTTTTTTTTCTTTTCTTCTTGCAAAATGCTTTTTATTATAGCTTGGATATTTGGGAAGCAGATGTGAGAGCTTTCCCTTCAAACTCTGAGAACTTAATACTTCAGTTTCAAAATGTCCTCCTTTCTCTGCATTGAAACCAGTCCTCAGTGACTCTTGTGCTAGCTGCAGTATTGCTATTGAATATAATATTTGTGTCTTTTCTTTCTGTGTGATTTCTGTTGGTTTTTCTTTAATAAATTTTTTTTGTTTCTTTTTTAATTCCTTTTTTTTTTTTCTTGCCATAAAGCAATCTCACACCTTTCTGAGTCAGGAACTGCAGCCTTTTGTTGTGTTAGGATCTTTGACAGAAAAATTTCTGTCCACACATGGAATCATAATTAGATTTACCCATTTCCAAATTTTTTTTAATCGCACTCCAGCAAAAAGCAACAAAATAACTTAGCATTGCATGTTCAGGGATTTTTGTAGGGAATAACATGATGATTCTGATGATTTAATTTTTCTGTTAAAATATAAAACCTGCCCCATTTCATCTGCTGGAGAAGTACTAACAAGTTATTTGTATTTCTCTTCAGTTGATGGTAGATTCCATTAGTTGAAGACTATTTTATTCCTTCTTTGTCTCCTGATTTTTCCACCAAAATGGGAAAAACACAAAGGAGGGCTGTTAATCCCCTGCAAGTCCAAGAGACAAATGAGTGAATGGCTTTGTCTTGCAGCATGCAGCTTTCACGTATATCAGAAAGCCAAATTTTACTGGCTGTGCTTAGTGACAGTGACACTTTCAGCCCCTCCACAGGGATATGGACAGTTGGTGAGCTACTTTCAATTACCAATGAGCCCATGTGCAGCCTAACTTCACTCCTGGTGAACTGGAATGCACCATTCAGCTGCAGTTTTGTTCAGAACTGAATTGGGGAACCCAAGAACTGCAAAGGGCTTTAAGCTGATGACATTGTCACTTGCTTCTAATGGCACCCACACAGCTGGATAAACATCAAAACAACAGAAATGGATCAATTGTAACAAACTTTCTGTATGCTGAGTTTAGCTGTATTACACCCTGGCAGTCTTGCTCCAAATATCAACTTACAGGGAACATCCTTTGCCAAAAAATGAATCATACAAGAAGCTTTTAGTCTTCAGAACAAACCCACTGTGTTTTGCATGCTAAGTATGCTAAGCAATTATACCTGTATGACTATACATAAAGGAAAACTGTAATTTATGTTCCCATGATCTTGTGGCTGCTCTCTTCTGGGAGGTGTCAGTATTAAGTGAGTATTTGTACATTAATTGTACATTAGCCATAGAATATTGATCATAGACCTACCACTGCAAATAGACACTCAGGTAAAAGTGTTTTAGCTTTCTTGAATTTCTAGCATTATTCAAAGATTCTCCAATACAAAAGATATATTAAATGTGAAAGAATTAAAAAAAAATTAGAATACTGTATGGGTAAAAAGCAAACATGCCACAGGAAAAGTAGAGACTAAAATACTATTTTTAACTTTTGTTTTGAAATTTACAACTGCATTTCTATAGTTTGCTTCCATGACTTCATCTATACCCCCAAAATAAAGTAGAGGGATTTTATTCACCATTGTGGCCACACAGCTGATGTACAAAAGTGAGGAGAGAGAGATTGCACATGGCACTTTCTCCTAGATTGATACTGCCAGCAAAGAGATATGAGTATCCAAGGAGAAAGAGCCACCCCTATTCTCAGAAGTGGTTGCAGATGCAAGTGGGAGTTAATGTTGTATAGGAATCTGTTCTACAGATAAAAAGTTGTATCACAGGTTTTGTTAAATTTGGTTCCTTCCCAATTCTTAATATTCATGAGATATAATCCATTCAGGTTCATTAAATTACCACACATATACATTTAAAACCCCAACCCCTTGATTAAATTTGTTTGTATCTAAACCAGGACAGTACCCAATGCATTTCAGTGTACCAGGTTTTCATGATACTCCTCCTGAAGTATCCTGATTTACCTAAAAATCTAAGCCTCATAATGATTATTTTTTCTAGCCCTCAAAATTAACCCAGACAAACCACTGGAAAACAAATGGTGATGATCATTTCAGCAACTTTTAGCACCAAAGCTAGTTGCATGATGTTTCAACACCCAACTCATGTTTTTGTGTAGCAGCTGTAGCAGTGGAATTTAATGGGAAGGTCATTGTCATGTTTCTTTCAGTGAACACTACTTCCAGTTATCAGAAATTATGATCCTGAGCCCCTTTTTCAGTGAAAACAATGGCTGTTCTAGCTGAGGCTGAAGATGTGTATGTTCTTTCTATCTGTTTGGTTGATAGGGTTTTTTTTCTCCTTGACTTCTTTACTGCTGGAGAGGGATGGAATGACTCATGGGCTTTAGAGACAATTCAGCACACCAAGGCTATAATTAGATGTATTTGTGGCACAATGCAGGGGAGGACACACAGGGAGAATACGTAATAAAGATGTGTTTTTCTGTTAGACGACACTTGTCTAAGAGACATGCCCATGATAAGAAGGAGGGAGAGAAACAAATGAACACACAAGCCAGCTTCTGGAAACGGAAGCAGGGTGGCCCATCTGGGCCCACGTGGGCTTCCTGGTGAGAAAACCTGAATGATAGGATCCATTTAATAGACAGTTATGACAT